CTGGCTCTGGTCATGCTGATCATATCACAAGAGTCCATTATACATGTACTCAAGTACATGCACTCCCCAGGGGTTATCAGTTACATGCATGTACTCGGTATAAACCCAGAAATGTTTGCGCCGGTTTTAGTTCACGATTTGCGAGCACAGACAAATTTGCACCTGGAGATGTTCGCGATTGGAGTCAATTTCCTCAGTTTCTTTACTACATGTACAGTTCTACATTTCGCATCAGATTACTTTTGCGATTTCGCACCCATTGCTAAAACAGCGAAGGATACCGGATCGCAAAGGTTTCTGGGTTTACAGTATCGATTCTTGATAGTCTGCATCATGCCTGGTATAAGTTACTGAAGAGATCGGCTGTCTGCCCTCCTCACTCACAATAACATGCTGTTGTTGTTGTTGTTGTTGTTGTTGTTGTTGTTGTTGTTGTTGTTGTTGTTGTTGTTGTTGTTGTTGTTGTTGTGTGTGTGTTTGTATTTCTATTCGCGATTCAAACAGGCAAGCATGCCCAATAACAGGAATGCGAATAACAGAGAGAGAGGCGAGGAAGAATAATCGTGATGTCATTAATTTTATGATTGTACATGACAAGTTTAGTTACTAGATATTCACGTACATGTACATGTTACTTATACAATGCAAAGTAATCTCAGACGTCATGTCAGTACAAGGATTGAAGGAAGTAAAAATACAATCATGTACAGTGAATATCGTTTATAAAGTGACCGGGTGTAACGATATACCGGCTATAATGATAGAACTCGTCAAAATCAAAATCAAATCAGAAAAATGCAGCTAAAATATCACTATACACAATATTATCGGCTATACCGATATATCGCTTATTGTGATCTGGTGATGGGCTTCAGGAAGCAAACCATATCAAATGTACAGGAAACATCGCGTATAATGATCAAGAGTGATGATCACAAAAACAAGTGTTCTTCCAATAAAGTTCACTTCTTCCAAAACTGATCTAGTGTTGCCTGGATGCACCTGGCAGCAGACATGCGGGGTTGTACTCGTGGACATGAGCAAGGCCTTTGATCGGGTACGCCATGAACTACTACTTAACGAGCTTCAAGCTATTGGCATAAGCGGAGTAGCACTACAGTGGTTCTCCAGCTATCTCCAGGGTCGACGACAACAGGTGAAAATTGGAAATAACAGAGGAGACGAGACACATTGTACACGAGGCGTTCCGCAAGGGTCGGTGCTGGGGCCTTTGTTATTCTCTTTGTACGTGCGACATGTCCCTGGAGTACTTCGCCACGCAGAGTCCCAACAGTATGCTGACGATATCGCCTTTTATATACACTGTCAGTCTACTGGAGAACTTCAGCACAAGTTGACAAGTGAGTTGAACAGACTAAATACGTACCTTGGAAGCATTGGTCTCATCTTGAATGCCCAGAAAACGAAGTTCATGGTGCTTCGGAAGAAGGCTCTGCCTCTTCCGCCGGATCTTACCATTGTATGCGGTGGTGTCGATATTCGACCTTCTGCCACAGCGCGTTATCTTGGCCTTAATTTATTGACCAACACCTCACCTTTGAGGATCAAGTCAACCATGTATGTACATCTGTTTATAAGAAGATAGGAGCATTCCGCCGCTGCCGCCGTACAGTAGACCACACAACTAAGCGAATATTTTATTTATCCCTCATCCAATCCACTATTGAATACGCCAGCAACTCGTATGCTCACTGTCTTACACCATCTTTATACTCTCGCCTTGTTACTTTTTAAAAGTCATATCAGCATGAAAAAGGTTTTTGGTCTCCCTCGCCGTACCCCTACTGTCTTTGTTTTGCGGCACGCTAAGTTATACTCCCTCGAATCTCGTCTCAACTTGAGGCTTTTTATTTTTGTTTTCCGCTGTATTCATCAGCTTACAAGTCCTCTTCTTTCCTCAATGTTCACCCTCCAGTCGGCTGCTACTTGCACCGAGAGGCGCACCAGAGGGCAATCATTCTCTTCACTTTCTTTGCCCGCTGCTACCACTAGATATGGCATGTTCTCTATTTCTTTCCTTGGCGCTGATAGGTGGAATTCTCTGCCTGTCTCGTGTCGTCAGGTTGAGCATCTATCCGTTTTTGTTTCGCTCTGTAAAGAGCACTTAGGGTTCCCTGTAACAAGACGGCAACGTCTGTAGGGCCTTCCCTATCAAAATAATAAATTCTACTACTACTACTACTACTACTACTACTACAGTCGTCGCCAAAAAAATCCGGCCAAATGCAATGCTAGCTACCGGTAGCTGTACTGGGCCGCATGCACTGTATCATACTTCATAGACTTAGTCGTAGTGCCTACTAGTGGTACCAAGAGTAGATGGTGTTTATCTACTCTTGGTGGTACTGGTAGACCGGGTCTGCAGTTACTTCACTGTTCACATGCTGACAGGCTAGGCCCGCATACACCATGTAGAGGCGACAACGGCTTGGCAGGTCAGCCAAATAATTTGTATAGGCCCAAACCATGCAAACCTATCATCAGCGTTGATTGTTCACTCGAAATATG